TAGCCAGACATAAACTGCTTCATCAATGTAGCAGTAACCATGGTAACACCATCATAATACATAAAATATTATCTGATCATGACAATCTGTAAATTAGCTAAAGTCACATGAAAAAAATTGGTGAGCTTATTATCAGCTGAGCTTACACTAGACCGAACAGAATTTTACTTGACTCTGACTACTTGACTCTGGTTAAAGTCTCAGCCTGATGAGGGGGCACGGGTGGCCCAGTCGTCTAAGACGCTGCGATTCGCCATGCAGAGTTGTGTCCCTTAGTTTCACCAGAAACCTATGGTTGTGGGTTCGAATCCCAGTTTCGTGGGTATCACCGAAGTGGTAAACTTCTGAGACCTGCATCACTTGGGGCTTTCCTCACACATTAGCTGACACGCTTTGATATAACTGGAATACTGTTAAAGTGGCGCTAAACACAACTCACTCACTCACTCAGCCTGATGAGCATGATGATTTTCATCACCACTCATGTTTGTTTGTTTGTTTGTTTGTTTGTTTGTTTGTTTGTTGCTTGACGTCGCACTCAGCATTATTCCAGCTATATGATGGCGGTCTGTAAAATAATCAAATCTGGACCAGACATTCAAGTGATTGAGAACATGAGCATCGATCCAGGCAATTAGGATTGATGACATGCATCAACCATGTCAGCGAGCCTGACCACCCAATTTAATTAGTCACCTTTTACGACAAGCATAGTCGCCTTTTACGGCAAGTATGGGTTGCTGAAGACCTATTCTACCCCAGAATCTTCACGGGTCTCACCAGTCATGCCACTGGAGAACACTGTCATTAATTATTATTGACTTCATTAAGTACTGTCATCAAGACAATTATTTATTATTTTTTCATTGCTTGGCATTTCACAGTGGAGGGACATTTATCAGAGACACTACAGTAAGCTGGTGATGATGCAAGTTGGTCAATAAATGTTATCTTGGTCAAAGAGTGCAAGTATGTGTGTACTTTGGACCCGGACGGACCCAATATTTCCATTTATTCTCGGACGGTTAAATAACGACTCAAAGTTCACGTCGCTTCACCTGTGCTCTCTTTCTCTTATCAAAATGACTTGACCCAGCTCAGAAAAGGGTAACCACCAATTTTTAAACAAATCCATAAAGTACTTTTTACAATGCAATGAAAATAACTGCATGGTGTTTACGACTGTAAACATGGTAAACAAGATTGTGAGCAAATATCTTTATCATGTTTGTCAGTGCAACACTGGCAACAATTCACTGTAGATATGAGTGACTTAGTTTAATGTGATTTGATGTGACTAATCTTTGAGACACCACTTCAGCACACTTTTGTTTTGTAGTCAGACTGCTCATGCATAATGCCCATTACAATCAGTACTGTAGAACACTGTGAATTGTTAACAATAATGTACACTGTAAATTGTTAACAATAATGTAAACTGTAGATTGTCAACAATAATGTACACTGTAGATTGTTAACAATAATGTACACTGTAGACTGTTAACAATAATGTACACTGTAGATTGTCAACAATAATGTACACTGTAGACTGTTAACAATAATGTACACTGTAGATTGTTAACAATATTGTACGCTGTAGATCAACAACAATGTACACTGTAGATTGTTAACATAATGTACACTGTAGATTGTTAACAATAATGTACACTGTAGATTGTTAACAATAATGTACACTGTAGATTGTTAACAATAATGTACACTGTAGATTGTTAACATAATGTACACTGTTGATTGTTAAAAATACTGTAGAATGTGGATTGTTAACAATAGTGTACACTGTAGATTAACAATATGCACTGTTGATTGTTAACAATAATGTACACTGTAGATTGTTAACAATAATGTACACTGTAGATTGTTAACAATAATGTACACTGTAGATTGTTAACAATAATGTACACTGTAGATTGTTAACATAATGTACACTGTTGATTGTTAAAAATACTGTAGAATGTGGATTGTTAACAATAGTGTACACTGTAGATTAACAATATGCACTGTTGATTGTTAACAATACTGTACAATGTAGATTGTTAACAGTAATGTACACTGTAGACTGTTAACAATACTGTACACTGTAGATTGTTAACAGTAATGTACACTGTAGACTGTTAACAATAATGTACACTGTAGATTGTTAACAATAATGTACACTGTAGATTGTTAACAATAATGTACACTGTAGATTGTTAACAATAATGTACACTGTAGATTGTTAACATAATGTACACTGTTGATTGTTAAAAATACTGTAGAATGTAGATTGTTAACAATAATGTACACTGTAGACTGTTAACAATAATGTACACTGTAGACTGTTAACAATAATGTATGCTGTAGATCAACAATATACACTGTTGATTGTTAACAATACTGTACACTGAACTTGAGCGATTTTAGATGTGTGTGCTCACCAGAACCATGAGAACAGATAGTCATACACATGATACATGCAATCTACAATTTTGAGTTTTAATGATTCAGTGACAGTATTGCTTTCTCCAGAACTTGGAATGAAAATTATTTACCATGTTCCAGAAGTTCACAATTTGTATATATGTACTGGAAGCAATTCTGTGTCCAAAATATACTGGAATCAGACCATGTAGAAAAGAAAATATACGTTCCTTTCACAACCACCACCGATTCCCATCCTCATATTTCAGCCATTACGTATCTAATAGGGAACAATATGAACAGACATGGCAGACAATGTGCTTACAGAGCTCCAGATAAGCTTTTGGTGTTGTGGGTATTTTACCCATGATTTTTGAAATCATTTGCTATCAGTAATTCTATCTGGGTATTCAAATTTCTGTTACCCACTAGTTTATACACATGTGGGTATTTAAGTTAAATATTTAAAAACACTATTCATCTAGTCCCTGCAAACTGGTGTCGTGTGGGTTCCAGAGCTTTATAGGACTCAAAAATACAACGATACTTCCACAAGAAAGTGTGATGGCAAATGATCGTGATGTAACTGTCATCGTGGAGTTTGGCAAGGTTGACGGAATGCCTGTTTATAATTTCAAACTAAGTTGCTGATTTGCTAATCGAATACGCAGGGTTTCTTCACAATATTTTGATGATACGCACAAGTTTTATTTTTTTAGCGTATCTGTAATGTTCATTGCGTATTTGATACGCTTGGATTTTTTTTTACTGCGTATTTCTGCATTTCTGATGCGTATTTTACGCAGATACGCAGCTTATCTGGAGCTCTGAATACAATATTGACATCCATAACTGCAGTGAAACCGCGACAACTGATAACAAGCGTGACAGGTGTAGCTGATCCTCCATAACCCACACATTACTGTGGCCAGTTTCAGAATACATGTTCCGAAAATTAGCACAGCCCTTCATCATGTTCATGGCCATGTTGGCTGACTGACCAGTTCGCAAATTGGCTGACCAATCACACAAACTTTGGCTGACTTTTCACAGCAATAATCAACATGTGATCAAGTAGGCCTACATTTACCAGTATTCATAAACAACTTATCAATGGCTTACTCCTGAACAGATTTTCCACCTTTCTATGCGATCAGTAGTACACATGTCGAACATGTTGAAGTCAAACTAAAAAAAACATAACTATGAATTTTCATACAACTAAGAGACTAATTATGCTAATGAGATTGTAATTAGGGGAAAATATCCATAATTACTTCCGTTATTTTTGTTGTAGAGTGAGTGAGTGAGTATGGTTTTACGCCGCTTTTAGCAATATTCCAGCAATATCACGGCGGGGGACACCAGCAATGGGCTTCACACATTGTACCCATGTTGGGAATCGAACCCGGGTCTTCGGCGTGACGAGCGAACGCTTTAACCACTAGGCTACCCGACCGCCCCTATTTGTTGTAGAACAATTGATGCTTTGATGATTGTGAATTATATAATGTGACAGCAGCTCGCAGTGTATATTGCAACTCGTTCCATAATACATGCAACCACCACACACGGTGGTCTGTCATCTCTAGGATATATAACAAAAACATAAACTAATTTATAAGTTCTTTAACAGAATACTTATTACATTTAAAAGGAAGGTTGGGGATAATTTTAAAATGTATTTAGTCATAATAGTGGTTTTATGGTTGTCGAAAATTGTGCTTAATGAAAAGTAAACTTCACATGGCTATCTTGAAAATGCCTGAGCATGGAAGCAATACTAAGTTGTTTCATGGAAGTTAATTTTCATTTGTGTGTGAGTCAGCATGGTCACTCAGCTATAGTGTACGTGACTATCGTCCGGGCGGATCAGACAAAATTTGTGATCATGTATATAAACTAATTCGTTTGTTGGGGAAGGCTATTTTGAGTTTATTGCAAGGATAATATGTCCATGAACTGGGCCTGGTGCATATGCAAGCATCATTTTTCATGGAAACATTAATAGATTTCTAAAAAAAATCTCAAGTCTGAAGTCATTCTAAAATTAAAACTATAATTAATATACAACTTTTACACAAGCCATTAGAACTTTTCATGTCAATAAAATATGTTTATACCATCTAAACTAGAGAAGGTAAACGTGATTTAATAATAAAACATGTTAGAAGCAATATCACTCATGAAAATATCACATGATGTAGATTTCGTGTTTCTATTGTTTTGAACAGCTGAAACCAGTGCATTACAAGGGAGGTAACTCTCACCAGGTAAATCCGAAAGTCAAGAATAATAAATTTACTGTTACAAATGCATTTCGTTGAGGACACTATGATAATTTATTCAGTGACCGCATGGCACATATGAACCGATGTACTGTCGAACTACAGACATGTTTCGTAACCGTGTACGTTCTGTGGCCCGGCCAAGGATGAAGCTAGTGGCACTCATGCGTGACTCGTGTTAAATGGTGATCTTGCACGCGGCAACATGCGTGCAGGAAATGCATCAACACGAACAAAACGTTACATAAAGACATGATTAATAGAGAGAGATTAATAAAATGCTAATGTACTTGCCTTTAAGCTGTGATATGTACAAGCAATGTCCTCACGCCTCCGCTGTCTACCGGCTCGAGTGTATCAATGACAGTCCCGGTTGTAAATAGACTGTCTATCACGTGAATTCTCCTCCGACCTTGACCTTCACGATTAAATGGCGTTCATGGTCGAGTGGCCATGCCCTGGTTTGTCGTGTCGCTTAAAGAAATAAGATCTATATTTTATGGGGTGGATTTTTTTCTTAAATGAAAAAAAATCTAAGAAAACTACAAACCCAAATATTCATGTTCATATTACAATCATTGATAAGCACAAATGCACATGAAACATAAACACACATATAGGACGTGGGAACTTCACAAATTTTAATCCAATTCAATTTTAAAAACTCATAAATATGTAGATAACGGATATAGGATATAAAGTTGCAAAACAAATTCAAAATATATGGCTCAAAAACTGTTATATCCGTGTACACACTATTTATAATTGATTGGGGGGGGGGGGGGGGGGGGATCATTGAGAATAAAAACAAGGGTCATAAGAAATAATAGTGCTTTCTTTTGCATTTAGTTTTTTCAGCGGGATTCATGCAAAAAATGCACCCTACCCGCTATTATCCGACCCTCCCCGGGTACCCGCACTGAAGGTCTCAAGCGTTGGGAACAAGATGTCTGATTAGGAATTGTTCAAGTTACCGCAGCCCTGGCAAAAAGTATTTAGATACATGTATCAAGCGATCAGATCATGCGTACGCTGAAGTTGACGGAAGCTTCATCTTTACTCAAACATATACAAGTCAAAGGAATGTGTGCATTGTCAGAAAAGAATTGCGAACATATTAGCGACTTCTAGTGTAACCACTGAGCTATAGTGAGTTTTTGTCATTAAACAATATATCACATGACTAACCACGGGGCCGGGTCGTCCTGTAGGTACCGAGTCCTACTGAGGACCAACCCGACCCTAGTTACCCGTCCCAGCCCTAACTGTATCCCCAGGAGAGTTGGGCGTTGTTCATAATATCAATCACTGGTTTATCCAGTCTCAATTATTTTTCAGGCCGTCGTCGATATAGATGGAATATTGCTGGCTATAAGGCGTTAAACAACAAACAAAACACACTCGCTCACTTTCGAGCCTGACCACCCGATCCCGTTAGTCGCCTCTTACGACAAACATAGTCGCCTTTTGTGGCATGTATATGGGTTGCTGAAGACACCGGATCTTCATGGGTCTTACACTTTGGTACTAAAGCCGCCTTATTACCATATACCCACTCACATATTCTTCAATAATTTCACCCCAAATACCTAGATGTTTTGACAAGTAAATGAGATTTTCTGCAGTTTATCCGCCATCCTTTAGAGATTTATTATCATAAATAGAAGGGCCTGTATTATTGTTGTTATCGTGAAATCGCGAACACTATCATTCATGAAAACATAATTGAAGCCTCTCGCGAAATCAGTGTTATACCACATAAAATAGATATCTTTTTCTATGTCACCCAAAGTGTATCATTCAACCAGGGACCGGGGCTATACAATATATACTCCTTGATTAAGCAACAACGCCCACAATTTACCCCCAGGCCGTTACTTCATGTATAAAGAGATGTAGACCAGAGATCATAGGTATATGGTATGTGGTAGACTAAACAAGGTTATCCACCCATACACGCCTGACTGCATGCGCCGGGGAGTCTTCTTTTGTGACCACAAGTCCCCCTTAATCTACCGCAGCTGCTTAAATTGTCACTTGCTACAGGGATAGTTTTACACAAACCAATGGAAAAATGGGAGCGCAATTTTGTGTATGACTACTTCTTGAAATGAATGTTTGTTATAAGTACACATCAGATAATACCAACGCATATATCTGACTTAAATTGTTTGTCGGAGTTTTTACATCTACATTTTGAGATACCGTCTGTATATACTCACCGTCAAAAGAAACACGAACCATAGAAACATACAGTGAGTGAGTGAGTGAGTTTGGTTTTACGCCGCTTTTAGCAATATTCCAGCAATATCACGGCGGGGGACACCAGAAATGAGCTTCACGCATTGTACCCATGTCGGGAACCGAACCCGGGTCTTCGGCGTGACGAGCGAACGCTTTAACCACTACCCGACCGCCCCTGAAACCTATAGAGAAGTATGTACGTTAAGAAGATATGTTTCCAATGTGTACCAATTAATGACAAAACTAACAATCAGTCAAGTATTACCATAGCGTGTCTTTATTCTTATCACAATATGCTGCACGTGATTTCCAAACTTTACACTTATCTGCACGAGGCAAATGGTGCATCTCGAGTCACATGTGACGCGTTTATAGGCATCGGTTCAAACATGACAATATGTTTGTTTATTCATCGAACCAAACTAATATCTCTTGAATTCGAGTAATTCTTTATATATTAACCAACATGTATGGTTTTCGCGTTTCTTTTGACGGTGAGTATAGTTCACGAGTTTGTATACACTTCGTTCCTTTTTGCGTGAAGTATTGACGATGTTTTGAAACACACACTCGCCGATATGCGAGCCCTGGTCCACTTGCACAAAGCGATCTTAGTGCTATGATTGTCGTAGCCTAAGCTTATGTTAAAGTATGGGTGTTACGATCATCTTAGCGCTAAGATCGTTTAGTGGAACGGGGCCCTGGAGATATAGAGGATGACTGACTTCACCCGCCCTTGTCTCTCCAGACAGACACCCCAAGTTAGCCTGTGTCAGTTCCTCGGAAACTTTCAAAATGCTACTACTCCTCTGGGTGAGGGCGCTGTTACGAAGCCCTATTCACCACCTGCATGTAATAACGTCGTGACAATACTCCACACTTTGGGCACATGGATGGTCAGTAAGTGATCCAACTTAACCGGGCAGTGACCCCGATCATCCATACAATGACCAGTTTGACAGACCAGAGTTAGGCAAAATGCAAGATGTGTCTATCTATGGTGGCCGGGAGAGGCCATCGCTTTCTCGCCTTCAATATTAAGGCCGCGAGAAAGCGATAACGCAAGATGAGAAAGCAATAACGCGAGACAAGAAAGCAATAACGCGAGGCGAGAAAGCGATAACGCAGACGAGAAATCAGTAGCACGAACTATAGACTTGAAAGTGTTATCGCTCTATCGCTCTATGGCTTTCTCGCGGCAGTAATTGAAGGCGAGAAAGCGATGTCCCCTCTCGGCCACCATACCCATCTTTTAGGAGCTCGCCGAAACAGTAGATGTGTCATTGAGCAATTGGTATGACATCTCTTAACCCTCAAGACATTCCTCCCCCATCTGGAGCTAGCCACTTTAAGTATCACGTTACTACAACTAGGCAAGGTTTTCCCCAGTGCTTGACCATAACACTGCTCGTGGCTAAAGCACAGCGTCACGTGCAGACTGAGGGGAGGGGGGTTGGGTGGGGGTGGGAGGGGGTCAGAGGGTCCCTGTTAAAAATCATGGATCCGCCTTTGAAAATGATACAAAAATATAAATTACATCAATTATATAGTTGCTATATCAGTACATTTTGTATATTAAACACTATTAACGACCATTTAAAGAGTATTACAAAAGAATTTGGGGAAAAACATATAAACATTTCAAAGGCGTGACATCCTGTTTATTGCGTCAGCATGCGAAGACGTCATAAGAGAGAGAGAGAGAGAGAGAGAGAGAGAGAGAGAGAGAGAGAGAGAGAGAGAGATCATCTTTATTTCCTCCAAATGATGAAGATACATTGATATGAGATATTACGGTGTTCTACAAATGTATATATATAACACCTTATATATTGTATGTACATGCAGTTTCACATCATTATCAAATAATGTTTCTTAGTAGGTTTTTCCACATTTTAACAGTTTTACATACACGGAGCATTATATTTATATAGATTGTATTCAATTGCCATAGTACTTTCTGTTGGCAAACCGCCAAGTAAAAAGGACAGACAGGTATCGTCATCATCGTTCCAGATACTAGAAAAAGTTGTCACATCTAGTAAATCAATAATAGACTCAACAAGAATATTTCTATGTTGTTGAGTCTTTTTACAATACATAAATACATGTTTGATAATATCAAAAGCAAATGTGCCGCATAAACATTCATCAGATTGTATACTGTAGGTGCTAAGACATAATAAATATGCTAAATCATAGAAGTGTTCCGGCCTTTCAATTGTTAGTAACTAAAGTCTGTGTACCTTAGGTGATCGTATAAGAGAGTTTCGTTTTTGGTTTTCTCTTGATTGAATCTCTGCATGAATTACATTACGGTCACATACGCTTTTTTGTTCTTTAACTCAACTCGCCCATGTGACATTTTACATTTATCATCTTTTTCTTTAATTGTGTATCGAGTTGATACTGAACAAGTCTGTGCTGCAATAGTCTTTTAAATGCAAAGTTAATGTCACTATTACACAGTCTTACAAGGAATAAGAGAGCTCGTTGATCAATGTACGCCTGGAGAGAAATTAAACCCAGACAATATCTGATGACGACTGAAGGTGTGCGTCTAGACAATCCTTGAATCTTTTTACAAAAATAACGTTGAATAATTTCAAACATTTCGTATTCCTTTGGTGACAGTTTACCCCATACACTACAAGCACATAATCGGCATGGTAAAATTACCCTTTCCATATACGAACAGCTGGGATAGGATTTAAACCACGAAAATATAGTCCATGATTATAATTCATATTGACCAACATTCTGAGTTTTTCACATATTAGATGGGTATGTTCTAAGGTTTTCTTTGATGTATTTAAAAGCAATCCAGCATTAGTTACATTTTCCTTTTTAGGAAGTATTTGTGAACCAATGTAGACACATTGACAGACAGATTTGCGAATATTCCCAAACAGTAGAAATGCACTTTTACTGGCATTATATTTCAAATGCCATCATCAGCATATGTGTATATATCATTTAGTAGACATTGCAGTCCGTCAGGGGAGCTGCTCAACAACGTAGTATCGTCTGCAAATTGGATGCCGGGTGTATTACCCAATGGAAGACACAAGCCACGCCCTGAATCACCACGTGGATACAACAAGTCATTAATACACAGAGTAAAAAGCCATGCCGATAAAACGCGACCTTGACCAACACCTTGCTTGACATGAA